TTGCCACTTCTTTCAGTGCAGCCTCAACTTCTCCCTTCAATACCATTGGATCCTCATCATATATTACCTCTTGAAATTGATGAACATCGACCAATTCTTTTTGGTACTGTGACTCTGTGTATTTCTTCCATCTTCTTTTGATGTTTCCTGCGTCGTTCAATATTTTTCAATATTTTGCCCACAGAAATTTTCAGTATTACAATTAGAGGGTTAAATTTTTGCCTCAGTAATTTCAGCTTGAAAAATTGATTTTCAATTTTGTTTTTCTAACTCCAGGTTTTTGCACATTTCATTATAGTAATTGGCTTTGTCTGCTTGAGCTGCTCTTTGAAATCTGTTCAGATCTTTTATCTTGTCATTTCTTCCATTTATGTTAGCTATATTCTTCTCTCAAGGGCAAGTTTCAGAGCCTCTTCTAACATCCATGTTGGTCTTATCTTCCTTTCCTGTCTTTTTAATGCCCTGTTGCTTTCTTCATGTATGATATTCTTGATGTCATCCCACAATTCCGCTGGTGTTCAATGCATCGAATCTATTCTTTAGACCGTCTTTAAAATCAGGAGAGATATATTCAAGATCATATTTTGACTCCCACAGACTTGTTTGAATTGTCTTCAACTTCAAGTAGAACTTGCATATGAGCAGTTGATAGTCTGTTCCACAATCAGTTCCTGGCCTTGTTTTGGCCAAAGATATTGAGATTTCCCACAACCTCTTGCCATAGATGTAGTCAATTTGATTCCTGTGTGCTCCAAGTGGTGAAGGCCACATGTACAACCACCATTTGTGTTGCTGAAAAAAGGTATTTACAATGAATAAGTCATTGGTCTTGCAAAATTCTTTCATGTGATCCCCAGTGTCATTTCTATTACTAAGGCCAAATTTTCCAACTACCAGTGATTCTTTGTATTTTCCAGCTTTTGTTTTCCAATTACCAGTGATAATTAACACATCTTAATTGCATTTTTGGTCAATTTCAGACTGCAGAATTTGGTAAAAATCTTCAATTTCCTTATCTTTGGCTTTGGTGGTTGGTGCATAAATTTGAATAATAGTAGTATTAACTAGTCATCCTTGTAGAGTTATGGATATTATCCTATCACTGACAACATTCTATTTCAGGATAGATCTTGAAATATTCTTTGTGATGATGAATGCCATGCCATACCTCTTCCAATTCTCCTAGGTTCATACTTCCTACATTCCATTTTCCCATTATTAATGGATATTTGCAGCTGTTTCTTCTCATTTTGAGTCATGTCACACCAGCAAATAGAGGTTCCAAAAGCTCTACTTTATCCATATCATTAAGGTCAATTCTACTATGCTGAGGGAGCAAATACCAAGTGGTATTTTGAGTGACTTCCAACCTGAGGGGTTCATCTTCTGACACTGTATGAGACATTGTTTCAAGGCTATATATAAAGTTGTCCAGTAATATATCAGACAGTGTTTCACTGATATTCATAAGATTTCACCTGGCCAATTGTTTGAGATGTTGATGGCCTCTCCCTTCTTCTGAGTCTAGAAGCTCTGCTGGAACCTGTATACCATGGACAATGCTGCTGGCATTTTAAACACCAGTGGCACAGTCTCTACCCTCACAGCAACATGAAACCACTTCAGTATGACAAACTGACAGACAAGTTTATCTCCTTTAGCTGTTCCAAACCCCTCCATTCAGTTTCTGGCCTTCCCCATTACCGGTATCCAGCCATTGGCCATATCTTTCCACTTCCTGCTTGAGGACTCTCTCTCTCCTTATCTGTAACCTCTTACCTGTGTCCAGTGATCCATCCATTCAAAATTTGTTCCTTAATCTAAGGAAGTGTTAATATAAAAAATTTACAATGAGCTCTATCATTGTGACCTCCACATAGAAGAATTGAACACATATCTTTTGTGAGTGAATGATAATGTTGTCCTGAGATGATATTTGATGTGAAACTCATATTTTGAGTGTTACTGAGTTCAAGGATAAAACATTTGTATAAGTAGGTTGAGGAAATCATTGAAATGATTCTCTGGATATTAGGCCCTGTTTGCTAGAAGCATTACTTAAAAATAAATATTATTTTAAAGAGTGCAAAAGCCACTATTTCTCTTTTTAAAAATATATTAATAGTTTCTGATACAGTGATAACATTCTATATGCTTTGTGGTTTATGAGAAAAATTAGATGATCGAAAGTAGAAAAAAATGGTTAAGTAAATAAATAATTTGGACTGTACAAAAACTACTTGTTTATTGTTTAAATACTCTCTTATAACCTAGTAAACACTGTTTACCTGGGAATACTATCTATTTATTTTTGTTTCATAACAAATTGTCTGTAATATAAAACAATAATGAAAATTAAATGTTTAAAGGCTTCGTACAGCAATTGTTTTGTAGAAGATAACCACTAATGCACATAGAAACTAAGTCAGCTAATAAAAATTAATTCTTTTTCAAACAAAAATGGCCTCAGAAATAGGGAGAAGATGCCATTTTATTTTTTTCTTATACATCTAGTATTCCTTGTGTCCTTGACCATTTTGATATTTAAAAAGGAGAGCTGATGGACATATATATGCAAAAGATTTATTACTGATAGATGTCTTTTAGGTTTCTTAAAGAGTACCTAATCTTCTTAAGGGAAAGAAGTACCTACATTTCTCCAAGAAAATAAATCATCTAGAACTGAAGTTAAAGCCAATATATCTTGGAGACCAAAAGACAAAGGATGAATGTATTAAGGTAACTCTAAAAGGCTATAGCAATATTTCAAATGTATACTTTTGTTTCTGGAGAAACTAGCAGGTGCTTATAAACTGGGATTAGAAAACACATCACACTGTATAATCCTTAAGGAATAATTTAGGAGGGAAGTCAATCTTCCTTTTCACATCATCATTAATAATGCAAGAATGTTTACTCAACATTCCAAGAGCGTAATCTTTAATTGATCTTAGTTAAAGTATGAAGACAAATCTACAACAAGATCTACTATAATCTTCTTTAAAAGCACACACAGGGATAGAGGTTGGGACTTCTGCTTTTTGGAGTAACACTGTCACCAAAATGCTCCCCATCCCTTTATGATGTTCCTAAATCATCCAAAATGGAAGCCATTCTCCATTGCAGCATAAAGTTTTTACCTTCCAAGAATTAAAATAAACACTTTAATTCTGAACATTGAAAATACCAGTATTCTGGGACTACTTTTCTTCTGGGTACAAATATAACCCAGTAATTGCATTATTTCTTCTTAGTAGAATTTTATCTGAATGTCTTGCCTAGACTTTTGGTCCTAGGTGAATACTGTATTCCTGAATCTCCTTGGAGTCAGAAGACTTACAAACAACAAATCAAAGTATTCCCTTGCTTATAAAGGACTCCTGAGTAATTGCAGATGGAAGAGAATCTTACTGCTTACTCAAAGTAGAATCAGAAAGTGGTAAAATCTTAGAACTGCTGCAGATATTAGAGATCTTTGATACAACACCATCACTTCATAGAAGAGAAAAGGTGAGGTGGCTTTCCAAATGTCACACAATGAAATAATGATGCAGCTGTAGCAGGACATCATATTAAAAACTGTATTTGTTCTTCATTATCAGTAGGTGTGGTTTGATCTTTGAGTTTAGGTGTTAACATCTCACTCTAACCAAGATCATACACAAGGTTCTGTACAGGTAATATTTCCCATGAAACCGTGTGAATTTATCTCACACTATAAGAGAGAAAATTTAAATTTAGAAGAAGCAACATCTCTTCTACTCCTGACAGCATTCCAGTAAGTACCCAAATTTTAAGTATACATTACAAAACTACTTATGATTAAATGTAGTTACTTAGAGAGAATAACAAATTTCTATTCTAATAAAATTCTTTAGGCCCAAGTCTAAGTGGCTGTTACTTAAGTCAACAGAAATGAAACTGGAACTAAAGAGATTTCTGATGCCTGTTAGGTGAGCAGTGGAGAGAGAAATAGGAAATTATGTCTTCTTCTTTTCTATTATATTGCTTTTCTTTCCTAAGACTTACTCATAATAGCTTCCAAAAATATTTCTAAAAAGAAAAAGTGAATATAATGGTGTGTACAAACTAATCTGAACAAAAAACATTTCTGGGAGTAAATTGGGAAGCTGCTTAATTAATAGCATCATGGCAACTGCATTTGCTTTTAAGACTAATAAAATTGACATTAACTTATCCACTCCTTTACCAATTGCCCCTGAATGCTCTGTATTCTGTGTGCAACAGAAACACACATTACACAAAAGGTCCAACCCTAAAATTGAAATTACTTTCTTAAGACTTAATAAAACTTTGAATTCTCACTACAAAGACCACCTGCACTGTAAGATGTAGTCCCACTTCAGTCCATAATAACTACATTCCTCTTTGTTGCAGACACAAAATCTTCAGAGGGTTATACCATTTACTGGCATCTTTGTCCTACTGAGAACTTATTCTATAATTCTAAACATAACCTTATATTTAACTTTGTTTATTTACCTTTTATTAAGGTCTTTAGCTAAAAGTAACTCGTGACATGACATATACAATTTACCATCTTACTATTGACTATACTTGAATATTTTGAAAAAGCCTTTGTGGCATAATGGTTAAGCACTCAATTGTTAAACAAAACAATGATAGTTTGAAACCTCCCATAGACTCCACATGCAAGAGACCCAGCGGTCTCCTTCTGTAAAGATTGCAATCCAATGCTGTCAAGTTGATTTCAACTCATTGCCACCCTATAGGATACAGTAGAACTGTCCCCATAGGCTTTCCAACACTGTAAATTTTTATGAAAGGAGATTGCTTCATCTTTCTCCCATGGAGAAGCTTGTGAGTTTGAACCTCCAACCTTTTAGTTAGCAGTCAAATGGCTTAGGCACTGCACTAACAGAGCTCCTTACAATTTCTACTAATCATGATGAAATATCTTTTATACTTTCTTTTATTTTTCTTCCTCCTAGTGTCACATGCCCTGTGTCCTGAAGGAAATGGCCAAGAAAAATGATTCCATAGTAACTGAGTTTGTCCTTGAAGGACTGACAGACAAACCAGAACTTCAGTTGCCTCTCTTCCTCCTGTTTCAAGGAATTTATGGGGTCACTGTAGTGGGAAATGTGGGGATGATCCTCCTCATCACCTTCAGTTCCAAGCTCCAATCTCCCATGTACTTTTTCCTTGGTAATTTGTCATCCTTAGACCTCTTTTATTCCTCAGTTGTTACTCCAAAACTCCTGGGAAATTTTATATGGGAGAAAAATGTTATTTCTTACCCTGGATGTATAACTCAGCTTTTTTTCTTTTGTGTTTTTGCTATATCTGAGTGTTACATGCTCACTGCCATGGCATATGATAGATATGTTGCCATATGCAGTCCACTGCTCTACAATGTCACCATGTCCCAAAAGGTCTGCAGTGTGCTGGTGACTGGGGTCTACATCATTGCCACTTTGGGAGCTATGGCTCACACTATCTTCATGACTAAGCTACCTTTCTGTGGGAACAATGTCATCCACCATTACTTCTGTGACATAATTCCTCTCCTAAAGCTCTCCTGTTCTAGTACTTACATCAATGAACTTCTGGTGATACTTGTAGGTGGATTCAATGTATTAGCAACAACTATGCCCATCATCATCTCTTATGCCTTCATACTCTCCAACATCCTTCGAATACCCTCAACTCAGGGCCGATCCAAAGCCTTTGGTACCTGTGGCTCTCATCTTACAACTGTTGGGGTCTTTTATGGATCCATAATATTCATGTATTTAAAACCAGCATCCAGCAGCAACATGGCCCAGGAGAAGGTGGCTTCTGTATTCTATACCACAGTGATCCCTATGCTGAACCCTTTGATCTATAGCTTGAGGAATAAGGATGTGAAAAATGTTCTAAGCAAAGTCATGAGTATGAGGTATGGACCATCTCAGGTTAGTAGTAAGAACCAGTAAAGGTCATGGTAATAATCGGCTTCTTTGTTTTTCTTGTCTTTCTATTTCCTGAAATTAACATCCTTTTTCTTCTATAAGCTGTCAGATGTTATTCTTTTACTGGTGTCTGTTTGCACATACACTCCTGCATACACTGACACATACACACATGTAAGCCTGAGAAAACTCTCCAGGGTATTAGGATTCACTAGGTCCCTGATGAGGCTTAGATGGGTTTATTCTGAAAAATTCCTCTCAAGTGACTCTGTATGGTACTCTGTCCTTCCCTATTCAGAGAAAAAGTGGGATAGATTTTATTTTTTTTTCCCTTTCATTGGTGTTAATTAAAAGTCATTATTTTCTGTCTTTCAAAACTAACTACATGACAATTAAGTTAAGTGGATCTAATTTAGTTATAACAGAAAATAATAATTTTAAACCTTGGCTATCAACTTAATTAAAAAAAATGTATATTTGGATAATATTAGGCCCCTTTGATGAGTTTTGTTTGGGCTTTTTTTTCTGACATGTATCTTTCTTTTTAAGGATATAATTCCTAAATTACAGAAATGTCACAAAAATGAATAAAAAAGTTATTAATAGTGGAATTATAGGACAAGTGAGACCAACTCATTTTCTTAAATGAAACCTCACTCTTCTAACAAAACTCACAGACAACTGATGATTTCCCATTTAAAATTCAGCTTCTGAGACTATGCACATGTTCTTAGGTGACTGTTATTTGCCGTCGAGTCAGCCCCGACTCATAGCGACCCCTCCTTGGGTTTCCAAGGCAGTATCACTATCTTAGGTGATAGGCCTAAATAAATCTCTTCTGTGTGCTATTTTGTCCTATTCCATTTCCCCTATTCTTCTCCAAGATTCATCTGTTTTCAAAAAGGAAAAGGAAAAAAAAACAAACACTGCCATTCAGTGGATTCCAACTGTTCTCAACTCCATAAGTTCTTATAGAGTTGCCTCCATAGGCTTTCCAAGGCTGTAAATCTTTAGAGAACCAAATTGTGTCATCTTTCTCCTTCAGAGCAACTGGCAGGTTAGAACCATCAAACTGGTTAGCAGCCTAATACTTTAAGCACTGCAGCACCAGAACTCGTGAACATGAAAAAGGGACCTGAAAAGTGCATGCAGGATTTAAGTAAGTAATTTTATGGACACCGCCATTCTAGGAAAGAAGATACTTTAAAAATAGAAAAAAGTATCTTGGTGACTAGACAGAGAAGGGGAAAGAAAAACAAGAGAGGGAATATAACATCCTGCAGTATAAAAGAAAGCCAAATTTTAAAACAAACTAAAAGAGAATAAGTATGTACAACCTCTTCTGCATGACTTCTTCTAAAAGAAAAAAAAAAAAAAAAAAAAGATGGGAAAAATAGATAACCATTCGGGGAACAACTACGTTTTTGTATACTGAAAGAAGAGAGTATGTGGAACCAGGACTACTAGAAACTACCTAAAATTGCAAATTCTATCCAAAAATAATCCATTTAAAGTCAACAGACAAAATTATTTTATCATAACAGAAATTAGAATAGTAGCATAAGGGGCTGGGACTGACAACGGCCAAGAGATAATTTTGTTAGTGATGGAAATGTCTAACATCTTACTTGGAGTGGGGGTTATACAGTACATTTGTTTAATAAACTGAGGTATCTGTACACTTGATATTTGTCCATTTCACTGTGTGTAAATAATATGTAAATAACAAATGGAAGAATAAAAATGAATTAACTTTCCATGTCTTAAAAATTAGGTAGGAATCAATAAACAGAGAAAAAAAATGGTAGGAAATAATACAGGTAAGAAATTAATAAAGTAGAGAATACATATCTTCCTTCCAAGGAGTGGCTGGTGAGTTTCAACCACCACCCTTCTGGTTAGCAGTCAAATGCCTTAGGCACTATGCCACCAGAGCTCCTAAATAAACAGTAGAAATAATAAAATCCCAGGTTTCCTGAAAAAAATTAACATAATAGACAATGCATGGATAATTTATTCAAAATATATTTACCTGACTATGCAAAGAGAAAAATGACAAGCACAAATGAACCTTTGAAACCACAGAAATTACAGAAAACCATGTCAAACTTTTTAGAAATGCTCATGCAAATACACCTTAAAATTTGATTAACAGGAATTACTATTTAGCAAAATTGAACCCATCAGAGATGAAAATACTATTGTTGTGTGCTGAGTACATTCCAATCTATAACACCTCTAGGGCCACATTAGAATGGCCCAATAGGGTTTCCTAAGCTAAAATCTTTAGGGAAGCAGACTCCCACATAATTTTCACATGGACAGGCTTGTAGGCTTGAACCACAGACATTGTGGTTATACACTGAGCACTTAACTATTGCCTTACCAGAGTTCCTTATGAAAATATTAGAGAGATCAATTTTCACTAAGGATTAATTTTAGTAAGAAAATATCCTACAGAAAAGTGAAAAAGCCAAGATTGTTCCAAAGGGCAATTCTACCAAACTTTCAAAGACAAAATAATGCCAATGTTTTGTATTTTTAAAGTTCCAGAGAAGAAATATAAGAAAAAAAGTCTAAATTATTTTATTAAGGAAATATAATATTGACAACTTTGGAGCTCTGGTAGCATAGTGCCTAAGGCACTTGACTGCTCACCAGAAGGCTGGCGGTTCAAACCCACCAGCCACTCCTCGGAAGGAAGGTTGGGCAATCTACTTCCGTAGTGATACTGCCTCGGAAACCCAAGGAGGGGTCGCTATGAGTCGGGGCCAACTCGACGGCAAACAACAACAACAACAACCCTGTTAAAAGCAGTGCAAAAAAACAGCAAATGAAATATAAGACTTAAGAATATCAAAGCAAAAATGCTAAATAAATTATTACTGAACAGAATCCATGAAGATTTTCATCATCCATGCAGGAGTCCCAGGCTTGATTCCCAACCAATGCACCTCATGTACAAGCTCCACTATCCTGTTAGGGGAGCCGTGCATATTGCTGTGATGTTGAAGAGGTTTGGGTGGAACTTCCACACTTAAACAGACTAAAAAAAAAAGACTGGAGGTCTACTTCAAAAAATTAGATTATGGAATTCTATGAATCAGAAAAAAGTGGTTAAAAAGTGGTTAAAGTGGTTAAGGTTATATAGCCTTGTAAGCCATATGGAACAGTTCCACTAGGTCCTATAGAATTGCTATGTATTGGAGTCCACTCAATGGTAATGGGATGGAGGAATGGATGGATCACAATGGTCCAGACTGCAACCAACCATGGGGATGACACAAGACCAAGCAGCCTTTAGTTCCATTGTGTATGGGGTGGCCATGAGTCAGGAGCTAATTCAATGGCAGCTAAAAAGAATAAAAACCACAATGATAATAACAAGAAGCAGAGCCCAACACCTGAATAAACAGATAATGCACAATGGAAAATGTGCTTTCATTTCAGCAATGTAATGCTGTAAGTCATGTAACACAATACTAAATGTCAGTATATCTAGGGAGAAAATGAAAAACCATGAATATCTACATAGATGTGGAAAAAGCCATTAACAAAATTCAGGTAATTATCACTCCTGGGAAAAATATTCTACACAATAGAAAATGATGGATAATTCGTGTGATGGTCACTTTTATGTGTCTACTAGGCTACATGATGACATCAAGTTGTTTAGGAAAACAATAGTTTTGAGTTTGCTGCGAAAGTATTTTATTAATGTAATTAACATCTCCAATCAGTTGATTTAAAATAACTCTAAATCAAGGAGATTACTCTTGATATTGAGAATGGGTCTCATCCATCAGTTGAATTCCTTAAGAACAACAACTGAGGTTTCCAAGAAAAGAATGATTCTGCCTCAAACAGTAACATAGATGTCCTGCCAGAGCATCCACTTTGCCTGGCCTACTGAATTTGGATTTGCAAGTCTCCACAATTGTGTGAGCCAATTTCTTAAATATCTCTCTCTCTGTGTCTCATAAACCTATGCCTATATAAGGAATGCATGCTGAGAGCTCTGGTAGCTTAGTGGCTAAGGCATTTGACTGCTAACCAGAAGGCTGGCAGTTCAAACCCACCAGCCACTCCTCGGAAGGAAGGTTGGGCAATCTACTTCCGTGGTGATACTGCTTTGGAAACCCAAGGATGGGTTGCTATGGGTCTGACTCAATGGCACATAACAACAACAACATATAATGAAAGCAGAGTAAATGCAATAACTAAAGGAAAGAGAGTGAGGGAAACCATATTAATTATTTTTCTCTGGGGAACCCTAAGAAATATAACTATGCATTTTATTTATGTGGAATTACAAAGAATTCAAATATATTGATAAAAGGTTGTTCAGCAGTATCCTGGAGGGAGGTATGAGTGTATATATAGACTGTAAACCATCATGGAGCAGTTTTTGAGTTATGGAAATTTTTTGTGTCATGGTTGTAATACATGTATAGCTTGTGGTGATGGTAGGGTTTGCAGTTGAGTGTAATCTGACCCACAGTGACCCTATAGGAAAGAGCAGAATTGCCACACAGGTTTTCCTAGTTTGTAATCTTTACAGGAGTACATAGCCAAGTCTTTGCTGCTGTGAAGCTGCTTGTGTGTTAAAATGACCCACTTTTTGGCCAGCAATCAAACTCTTACCATTGCATCACCAGTGCTCCTGCTAAGGATATGCATTTTTCAAGTCTCTGGGTGGCACACGTAGCTAAACTCTCAACTACTAGCTGAAAATTTGTTGGTTCAAACTCACACAGAGGTGTCTCAGAAGACAAGCCAGAGGAACTGCTTCTGAAAGGTCAGAGCTTGGAAAATACTACGGAGCTGTTTTACTTTGCACGTATAGATGTAGCTATGAGTCAGAATTGACTTAATGGTTCCTAATGACAACTTACTTTATATAAATTATACGATGTCTAAATTGACTTCAATAATTGAGGAAAAATTACAAGAATAACAGTAATAATCAACAAAAGACATAGCACAAAATTCACACACATAAAAAAAAAAGATGTTTAAAAATG